TGGTTCACCTCCCCGAAGCAAAAGAGCTTATCATTTTGCGCCCTTCACAAGGCCCTTTTCAGGGCCTTGAACTATGCATGATCATTCCTGCCTTTTAAAGCCTCTTGCAAAACAAAATTTATTCAAGCGTGACTTTTGACCTCTATCATGCACCCTCATTTGAAGCCGATAGTTTGGAGTCCCAATATGATAATTGTGGTTTTCAGATGCGCCAATCAAACTACAGTTGTAACGCTAGGGTTAAATATTAGTTGAATATTTTTGCAAGACGTTGTAGGAAAAACTCAACATTTCTTGGCTGTATCTGATTCTACAAGGCGATCTATCTGCCAACTAACCAACTAATCTATCTGTCAACAAATATCGTTTGCACCTTTCGGTCTTCACAAACACAGTATTCTCGTGCTACAGCGAGACATAAGAATCCTAGCCCATATCGATAACAATTAAGGTCAGAGCGTAAATTCTTTCTCTCTATAGCGCAAAACCTGGGCTGTATGGTAGAGATTACGTGTTGTCCATTCAGCAGGATATCCCTCTTGATCTGCTTTGTTCAAACTAAAAGAAAGGTAACACCAATACTTCTGGAACAAAACACCCCACAGAAGCTGTTGAAAGAGCTCCTTCTGTCCACATGTCGGGACTTCACTCTTAGAACAGATCTTGGCGAAGGCTACAGGCCTTCTGGTCAAAATGAACGCTAGGCAGGGCCACTGTTTTGAGCCGTGGTTGTTGCATTTTTGCTCCATTTGTAGACTGAAAGGATATAGTTTCAGCCCAGCTTCTGAGTAGAGTGGATGGCGTGACACTGTGAGCTGCGTATTTCATCTGGAATGTTTTTGACTGTGACCAACATGGTGATGTGAAATGTAGATTCAGAAAATTAAGCGATGCCGGTTGTCTCAATATTGGTGGTGCCCTTATGTGATTAAAATTGATAGCGTGTGCAGCTGCTGATCTGTTGGGGACCTCTGCTACCATCCATAATAAACTGCATTTCTAATGTCGGACTGTTTGTGTTAGCACTTCGAATGGCTACCGTATGCTTTTAATATGTTTGTATGCTAGATATGCTGAGACAGCAGTCTGTCAATCTTTCCACAAGGGACTGTGATAAACATTATGTGTGTTTTTCGTTGGCACAGGAGTGGAGCAACTATGGAGTGACCTGTTTGCTATGAAGCTGAAACTAAGATTACAAGATTGCCTGGTCTGCCTTGCAATAACATTGAGTCTTCAGGCCCATGAACCCGCCAACGTTCAACTACAGGCTCACAAACCCACCAACGCTTGACTACCGATTACTTCGTAACCGTTCTGTGGTAGTCGAACATAACTGTACTACATGGCTACACGCTGCCGTGTGTCTAGCGGCTAGTCGCTCACCTGCAAATCGAAAGGTCATGGGTTCGAGTCCTGACGTCGGCAAGACTTTTTCCAAAAATGACCATGGCTCTCAGGTCGACCAGCCTTGTGGGTACTAGGTACAGTCCAGTGAAGTAAAGGAGGCCGGCGTGATGCTAACCACATCAAACCCCCCCCCCCCTCCCCCATGTGCCGTTTGGTCTATAAAATATAGGTCTAGCCCTATATACCCAATACGCCTGAATGCGTGAAAAAAAAGGTCTTTTACATGGCTGCGCCGCTGAGCGTGGTTTCATGGATTTGTAAGTGTCTGATTCTCATCCTTTAGAGACAAGAAGAAAATGCAATCTTGAAAAATGAGAACTAAAATCTTCAAGTTAAAGTGCAAAATTCTAGAATAAGGTTAGTGTATTCTGCTTGATTCCGTTAGCACAAGTGGGACGTCAAGTTTGGAATACGCCGCCCAGCATTTGGCGTTAACATAGATCAGACAGTAGCGACTACTGTTGTAAGGTTTTACAGTCACATTTGTCTAAGATCTGAGCTACATATCAACCAACAGATCTACCTAATAATCAACATACCTACATACTAACTAACATATACATCTGCTAACCAGCAAGTCTTTCTGTGAACCAGCACATTTATCCATCCATCGACCCGTCCATCTGTCACTTACCTACTAAAGTACTAATCAAAGTTTGAAGCAAATCACTGTTTCGACCACTTCACATATCCATCTCTCCACGCATGCATTTATTCATCTAATCATCTATATATTCATCCATTTACCTCTCCTTCCCTCATCATCTGGCCCACCTCTTGCTACTCACAGATAAACCCAAACACAAACGAGAAAGTGACCACCCATCTACATAAAGTAATCCCCTCCAGTACCATCACAACAAGTCTATCGTGTTGCCGGCCACATCCTGAGCGAGATGAGGTGCCCTCTTATTTGACACTTCCCGCCACAGATCTAGCTATTCAACACAACCAGCCATAAATTGGTTGCTAGATCTTCAGACACGAATCGATCACAACAGACATATATTTATTCTTCTCCCCGTCATACACTGTTCAGTTATTACATTTTCTCAGCCTGATTCCACAAGCAAGGTAGGGTTATATCCAAATATTTATCAATCTAACGGCCTGTGTTGGGTCCTTCAGCGGCGCTTTGTTGGATGTGCTCATTCATTACTATCGCCAGGCTCACTGTGAATAAAGCCAGTACCATGGGCGTCGTCGGTTTAAAAAAATTCACCATGAGTCCCTCAGTCAATGGCGGGGCCTTTGAAAGGGGTTGGGGTAGCCTTGTTTAACTGCACAATAAGTGGCCTAATCAACCATCCTTTAAGTTACTGTTTGGAGAAAGGGGAAGGGCTCAAGAAGCCTTAGAACACTCGGGTTCTGACGCCTTTGCTCGGTATATACCGTGTTTGTTGTTGGTGTATAAGACGCACTTTCTTGTTCTGAACAGGCCTTACAATTAGACTGCGTCTTATACAAAGAAGTAAGCCGTACATTTACTGTTTTTTTTACTTTTGTGTTGCCAATAATTTGCAACAAGAGAGCAACTGACATTCCTATACCGCGGGGTTTAAACTCTGTATGATACAACATGCTCAAAAACATGGCAAAAGTCATCAGAAAGTCGTTAGGATATCCACAAATTGGGATGTGGAGTGGGAGACCATATAAGGCTTTGGCGGTCACACCAAGATGTTTTGTGAAAACTGAACAGCGGAAAGAGTGCACAACCTGGAAACATTTGCAAAATAACTGGAATTAGAGACTCAAGTGGGCGCAAGAATTCTTCTTCTTCTCCTCCTCCTCCTTCTTCTTCTTTTTCTTCTTATTTTTCTTCTTCTTCACTTCCTCTTTTACCGCTGTGGGTGTCGAGGGAGATATAAGGTTCTGTTTCTAGCTCTTCTGGCTGCCTCGACCATAGGCACGTCGTGCTGTTGTAGAGTTTCTCTGATGTTATCCTTCCATCTTGTTCTTGGTCTACCCCGTGCTCTACGTCCTTCTTCTCTTTCCATGTATGCTTTGTATGGTATGGTGTCACAAGGCATTCTCTCTAAGTGGGCAAACCATTTTACTTGCTGTCTTTGTATGTAATCCAGAATTGGTTCTGTGCCGACTTGTTCTCTTATGATCTCATTCCTGATCTTATCTCTTAAGGTCACTCCTACAGCCCTTCTCAGACATCTCATTTCCGTGGTTACTAATTTTCTTTTATGGTTTGTTGTGAGTGGCCATGTCTGGCACTGGTAGCACAGAGTTGGAATAAATATGCTTTGAATAAGATGTCTCTTTGTGCTGATTGGGATTGTCTTATGCTGTAAGAGGGGGGCTAGCTGTCCCAATACTTGGTTTGCTTTACTGCATCTAATGTCAATTTCTTTATCCAATTTCCCATCTTTGGTAAATGTAGTTCCCAAATATTTAAACTCAGATGCCTGTTTAATGTCTTTGTATTCTATTGCTATGTTTAGATCTGTCTACTTTTTTCCTATTGACATTACTTCTGTCTTTTCAGTGTTGATTCTCATATTATTTGTTTTACATTCTTCATTCATGGATGTTAGATGTTGTTGCAATTTCATGGCTGTATCTGCTATCAAGGCCTGGTCATCTGCAAAGAGTGATTCGTTGATCTTACTAAGATCTTCATTCATGGGCTTGGCATTCTTGCATATACTGTCGATGTAGGTGATAAACAGCAGTGGTGATAAGACACACCCGTGTCTTACTCCAGATGTCACTGTGAAAGGATGAGATGTTCCCTGATTTATTCTAACTACACTTCTACAATCCCTGTATAAACTTTTGCACACTTCGATGAGATGTTCGCTTACTCCATATCTTGCCATTATTTTCTATAGTAATTGTCTGTCGACTCTGTCAAATGCCTTCTCCTGGTCTACGAATGCCACAAACAAGTTCTTATTGTATTCAATGTTCTTTTCTATTAACTGTTTAAGTGTGAAGACACCTTCACCTGTTGTAAACACCGGCAGAAAGTTCTGGTTGTTCGTTCACTTCTGTATTCTACACCTGTTTCAGAACCTAAGTGTTGCATGCACACCCGTTTCACAGATCTGACTTGTTTGTATACAGACTGTTCGTTCCTTGCCTCTCAGGCAGATGTACTCCGACACTCACGACACTTAATTTCTATTGTTGTTGTTGTTGTTGTTGTTGTTTCTAATATTTCTTTCAGTTTTGGGGATACGTTTTACACAACGGAGCGTCTTATACGCGATAAAAGACGGGAAACTGCAGCAAACTTCTATCTGCAACGTTCTACAGCATTAGGAAAACAAATTATGCTTCTACTACTGTTTCTGTAAAATGATACAAGTTTCTACCCATATACACAAGCCACGAAGTTGTAGTGAAATATGCTATCAAAAGAACGATCAGTTGCCTGCCGCTGTCTCCTATCTGCCCCTGCAGCGTCGCCCAGCTTGGTTGAACCTTCCAGATATAACGCTCCCGCTGTCACTACAGTGAGGATTGTCGGGATACCCAAAATGTATCATTATGGGGCCAATTAGCGAGGCTGTTAGAATTAATAAGCTCCCATGATGATTTTACAAACGGGAGAAAGACATAATCTGACATTAGTATTTCTAGATAATTTAATATTTCTCTGCCAACAACACAGCGTTGGATATGGAAGCAGTAGAATGTGTGCGTATGTGTGCGTATGTGTGCGTATGTGTGCGTATGTGTGCCTGTTCAAATAACCTGACAATTGACAAATGATTTTAACTCTTTCAAAAGACAAATTTCCAGTTTCATAGCAGAGATTGATGTGGGCATTAAGTGAGTAAGGAAGTAAATTTACCCCAACAGGACATCATACAGAGCGACAAGCACCCGGTGACACAAAGTACCACTATGCGGGTGAGGACCAACCGTGGAGAGGTCCCAGAAAGCCAGTTTCAGCCGTTAGTCAATATTTATGACCTGGCTATTTTCAGGGCCCCCGGCAAAAGCCAGGGTGGGACTTCAAATAACGAAAAATTGCATCCCATATAAGGACGAATGTATAACTGTAGGCATTAAGCGCAGTTGGAAACAAATATGGCGACAGCCTGATTTTCAAGGAGGCAACACACGTAAACCTTGAATGAAATATACCGCGTTGCATGTTAAAATAAACAGCCAGATCTCTTTACCACGCTCAGACCAAACATCAGAAGTGTAGCAACACGTTTTTGGTCTGCACGCGGGAAAACAAACTGATCCCACACGTCCCGTTGATTGGGACATAAAAATGTCACGGTTTGAAGAAGGATTAAGCAAATAAACCAAATTTTATGCTAGCACACCTTCATGAGATTTGCTTCCTTTCCAATGATGCCATTCACGACCTACTGGGAGATAAATAACGATAAACGAGCAGAATCAGTGCAAATGTCGGCCAAATGTCCTGATTTGTGTCAACATGAAGGGAAAATATTACATGAAAACATTGGGGGATTTAGAATAACTGCATTGGCCTGTAGACCTGAATGAGCTCTACGAGAAACATTTTTCGTCATCAAATTCTCTTACGACTGAACGGTTGCAGTCTGTGAATAAATTTGTTTATGCTTCCTAACTGCTGTTGCCTGCTGGTTGGCTATTTTCATTGTGGATCAAGGGCTCCTGACCCGGGGCAGGTGGGGGAGGGGTAAGCACACCCACCTCCCCCCTCCCCCCCATTGTTTTTTTTTTCTAGGAAAAACAGTGCAGAGTTTCTTCTTTTAATTGTTTATATATATATATATATATATATATATATATATATATATATATATATATATTATATATATATATATATATATATATATATATATATATATGGAAAAAATCTGTGGAAGGAGGTATAGAGGAAGACAACGAGACAGTCTTGTTGCATGGCATGGAGGTGTGTCGGCACACGAACTGATACATGCTGCAGGAGATGTTGCATTATGGAGAGGCATGATCGCCCACTCTAGTCGACAAGGCACCTGATGATGATGATATATTTTACATATGTGACTATACAATTATTTTGTGTGCTATCCATCCCATAATTATTATTATTATTATTATTATTATTATTATTATTAATATTATTATTATTATTATTATTATTATTATTATTATTATTATTATTTAAAGAAACCATTGCCATGCCAATAGGCGTTTGTGCATATAGGGCTAGACCTAAATTTCTATAGGCCAATCAGCACTCAGTGGGCGATGTAGTCAAAATCCCACCAGCAACCTTTACTTCCCAGGGCTTTACCTTGTACTCATTTAATGCTAGGTCGACCTGGGAACCGAGATCATTTTGACAAGAAGGAAAAACCTTCACTTGGGACCAACAGGCGAGCATGTAGCCGCTACACCACGACTGCTTCCTTGTTGTGTACAATACTCGGTGTCCCCAAGCGGTCATCAGTTTAGGATTCTAGGTGCTGATCACCAATGACAAACTAGTTGAGTTGGGTTGAGTCAAGAATTGACATCAGATCACTCGGAGCTTTCCAATACGTGCTCCGTCCCTATCCTCAGCAGCCAGCGGAGAGTTCCAGTACTAATGGTACCAGTCGTCTCGTTTGAATGTTGAATAACAAACTAATGAGCACAGAATTACCTAGTAAAATACAATAGTCAAAGAATGCTGGGGTTGGTTCTGGCCCGTCGTGTACAGGGTATGGAACAAACTTTTTTATTTTATTTCTTGTCAAAATTCTGAGGCAAATGACATTTGTGGGAAATGTCAATAGAAGTGGTGGTTTTAGAGAAAAGAGCTTTATACCGGAAACCATTGTATTTCATAGTTTTATATTCTTCTTCTTTGTTCACCAGCTGTAAACTTCGGCAGAAACACCTTGTTGTTCGTCCAGTTTGACTTTGGCTTTGAGCCAGGGCCTGAGTTCTGCATGTTTTACTGGCTTATTTGTGTGCAGCTGGTTGTTCCTTGCCGCTCAGGGAGATGCACCCCGACTTACATCTTTCCATTTATGGACAATAAAACAAAAATCGACAACGTTCAATCTACTTGGAGCAGTATCGGTTAATCTTGTGGTCTGGTTCCTTTCTGTTGGCAAATAAATATTAACTGCAGCCATTCAGGCAGATGTACTCCGACTTCAAAGGAAGTCCCCAATTAGATCAACTGCTATGACATGCTTGTTGGGGAGGCAGCTGGTCTTTTCTTGTTTTCCCCACAATTGGGCCCTGGAATCCACATGGGGAAGTAGCATGGGTGATCCGGAACAGGCGATAAATAACCCTGCGTTAGGGACATTCGACAGAGAGGGAGGAAGAAAATGAAGACACAAACAAAACTCGAATAACCTGAAATCTGAACTAAATTTTCAAGTACATTTTTACTCGGAACTCAAACGCCGCCTTGGAAACCGAAGACATGTCACATTCCGATCACGTGACTGAGCTGACAATGCAGCAGCTTCAGCACCTTCACCAGCAGCAGAAGGAAGAAATGGCAGACATTTCGTCAAGGAAGAAAGAAGAGGAAGTTAGAAGGATAAGCACTGCCGAAATCCAAGATCTTTTGACAATGTTTTCGAAATCACGAGAAGCTGTTGAGAAGTGGTACCCTGACAGAGTACTAATTAACAGGTGTGTTAACGTATTCAATGTTAACATTATCAAACATTTTGTAACAATTAAAACGGATCGTCCACACTAGAACACTTTGGAATTCAGGCTGTTAACAAACACTAGTGACCAAGAACTGTCTACAGGAGGTGACCGATTACCACATGAATCACTAGAAAGGATACTTGATGTTAACATAATATTATGGAAGCTAATTCACCTTCCAGATACCAATCTCCCTAAACTGTTCCTTTCTTCTCCTACTTCTAAGTGCCATGTCACCAATTTTATCAAGGTACAGTAAATACAATGTATTCATTCTTTTCATTATTATGTGTATATGTTTGTATTCAAATAGGTCGTTCGTTCGTTCATATATCGATATATTTAGTGTTTACTGAATTTAGGAAAGTTCATTAAAAAATTTGAGTTTATCTCGCCCTGGAACAGGTTAGTTTAGTATCCATTATATTTAATGAGAAACAGTGTCTGGGAAACGAATCATAAGGAATTTAAATGGGTTATTTTCAAAGTTTCCAGTTACCACTGTACAGTTTACCTCGCTATACGTCCGCTTCCTAATAAGTACGTCTTGTTGAAAACGCTAAAATTTTGCTTTGTGTGGTACCTTTGTTTGGAATACGACTCATGTGCTAGAACGTGTATGAGTCAAAATAAGTCACGATACCAACAAAAGAGACAGCAACAATAATGAATTATATAATCCTTAAGTTTTATTGAAAGAGGACTCTCTTTCAAAATAAAAACATTTCCTCCTTCATCTTTCTCAGCACCATCCTATTAGGCACTCGACTTGTCTCAGCAAGGTACTGGCTCTAGATGCAAAGGAACGTCGTGGGGGACAGACCTTGGTAGGTTGGGCTGGGAAGTCAAGTGAACATGTCATCTAATTTCTTTTGTATTGATGTATTTTAGTATTAAGCAGTGCAGATATTATTTTAAATGATCCCACCAAAATATAATATGCCAATAACAAAAGATTTTTTTTATGGCAATGATTCTCCCATTATTTCTTATTGATGAATATTTTTGGTATACGTCCTGTTTGGTATACGTCCTGTTTGGTATACGTCATGTTTAAACTTCGTACTGTTTGGTATACGTCCTGTTTGGTATACGTCTTGTTTGGTATACGTCATGTTTAAACTACGTACTGTTTGGTATACGTCATGTTTGGTATACGTCTTCTTTGGTATACTTCCTGTTTGTATACGTCTTGTTTGGTATACGTCATGTTTCGTATACTCTATGTTTTGTACACGTCATGTTTTGTATATTTCCTGTTTGGTATACGTCCTGTTTAGTATGGGTGCACGGACCTGGAACTGATTCAGAACGTTTACCGAGGTACCACTGTATGCGGAAAACTTAAATATCTAGGCAACACGCTGCAGTATAAGCGACATCAAATTCATCAGAATATCGGATAACGGAGAGGTTCGACGAGGCGTGATCGTCAATGCCTGCTCTAAACTATCATCCAATGATGAAGGAGATCTTAACTTGTCGGGTTCCTTCCTACATGAGCAGTTTCTCCGACCTGTTTCATTCTTCGTTAGTGTATTTAAAATGACATGTGTTATCTTTGATCTCATCATAAATGTAATATGATTCGACTGCGAAGACTACGGTTCAATGAACATTAGGTTCGCGGTGGCCAGGTGACGAACTCCTTGTGGTCCGGGTTCACTCCCGGGGGTAGGCAGAAAAGACACATTTCTCCCAGATTAACGGTACCTATAATGGAATCAAGGCCGAAGGGTTGCGAAATCCATAGTACCGAGCCAAAGGGTTTACAACTCATGGCTTCTGGATACTAACAAATCAACATTAAGGGGTAGTCAAAGAAGTATGTGGGACAAAGAAGGCCTAGAATGACATCATCAAAGATATGGACAAGACTACATCAGTATGCATTTTTTTTTTTTTCAACAAGCGGAAAACATAGAAGGATGACGGATTTTGTTTGTTATTGCTTTCATCGATACATCCCCACGACCCTATCGGGTCAAGGGTTACGTTGCATTATGTCATGAAGTGCACGTCTCCTTGCCTCACATAGAGTTTTCAACGTTTAAAACCCTTGAAATAGATTAAGCAGGCGGACGACATGACAGCCCGATTGAATCTGTGACTGCCCCAGGATGGTTTCCATGGTGAGAATGCCAGCTCTATCAATACGATAGAATCTGGGACCCGGTCTTGCCACTTGATGTTCAGAATCTTTCGTAGACAGACTTTATGGAAGTGGTTAAGTGTTTATGCCTGACGTCTATGTACAGTTCATGTTTCACAAACATAAAGCAGCACAAATACTGATAATTATTTCTCATGCTCAAGTATTGTTTACGGGATAAGTGGCCAAAATGTTAGCTTCACCCGTTATGTGTTGTTTCCTTTTTCAAACTCTCTAGTGCATTTTTTTTTTTTTTTATCAATCCGCTTCGCTATCAGTTCGATTAGATTGCAGACACCTCTAATTTCGGTACCATTTCCCACTTTGAGGTTACAGCAATTTATCTGTCTCTTGGCTGGAATAAATAACCAATGTTGTGGGGCAGAGCGGGTGTTGTGGGACAGAGTTGAGACTGTTAAGTGCACGCTCCATCTGTCCAGGGGTAATTTCCCGTTACCCAAAACAGCCCTGAGTTTATTCGGGTGAACAAGCGCCCTAGTACGACCGAGGAAATAAATACTGCAATCCAAGATAATGGTAAACTAGTTACTAGTGGAACGATCGTCTGCGACGAGTGATGTGCTTTTACTTTCAGGGAAATTTTCCAGATACTAGGGCGATTATTTTCCGCCTAATGTCCTGTAAATTGGCCACCGGAACATTGTTGAGTTATTGCTGCAGTATTACTGATGGTGTTACCGCAGCATCTTTAAGTTTAGTGTTGGAGTTATAGAGTAATAGTTAAGTTTAGGGTTTGAATTATAGAGTAATAGTTAAGTTTAGTGTTGGAGTTATAGCGTAATAGTTAAGTTTAGTGTTGGAGTTATAGCGTAATAGTTAAGTTTAGGGTTGATGTTGTATCACCATCGTTGTTTAGTGTTTCTATTATTGATACAGCTTGGCAGGAATCATAGTTTAAATGTTTCTGTGTAATTTTGAAAATCTAGAACTTTAAATGGTTTATTAATTTCAACATATTATTATTATTATTACTGTTACATTATTATTTTACTATTTTTTTCCATCTTCTTCTTCTTCTTCTTCTTCTTCTTCTTCTTCTTCTTCTTCTTCTTCTTCTTCTTCTTCTTCTTCTTCTTCTTCTTCTTCTTCTTCTTCTTCTTCTTCTTCTTCTGCTTCTTCTTCTTTTCTTCTTCTTCTTCTTTCTAATCTTCTTCTTCTTCCTAATCTTCTTCTTTTTCCTAATCTTCTTCTTCTTCTTCCTAATCTTCTTCTTCTTCTTCTTCTTCTTCTTCTTCTTC